GTTGCAGGGTGGGTGGGTGGGGGGGGGGGGGGGGGGGGGGGGGGGGGGGGGGGGGGGGGGGGGGTTCTCTCCTCAACCACCACCAGTGTGCAGCATCCACTTGGACGACGGAAGCCACAGGATAACGGCGCCAGTGCGCTCACCACACACCAGCTACAGGTGGAGAGGAGAGAAAGTCATAGAGCCAATCAAGTGGATGGGGATTATTAGGAGGCCATGATTGACAAGGGCCAGGGGGGCAATTTGGCCAGGTTACACCCCTACTCTTTACGAAAAGTGCCATGGGATTTTTAATTAACATAGAGAGTCAGGACCTCGGTTTAACGTCTCATCCGAAAGATGGTGCTTTTTGACAGTATAGTGTCCCCATTACTATACTGGGGCGTTAGGACCCACGCAGACCACAGGGTGAGCACCCCCTGCTGGCCTCACTAACACCTCTTCCAACAGCAACCTGCAACCTCCTGTTCCTCCTTGGTTTATGAACCGCAGGATTGCTTGTAATAAAGATTTCAATGCAAAAGGAAAGGCAGTAGAGCTGACTATTTCTGTCAATGTTAAGTTGGTGATAACGTAAGAAAAGTAGTTTAATTGTTTTGCCACTTGCTTGAGCAACTTAATATATAAATCTAGAAGTAAATGCAAAAGTAAAAAGCATTAAATAACGTGTTGCTTATATTTATTGTTTAAACATTTCTATGAAAGATTGTATTACTGTACTGTGTAAAAAAAGAAGCACAATGCTGAAAAAGCATTTTCAGTGACAATGTTTGGATTTGAAATCAAAATAATGGATAAATGTTGTGGTAAACAGCCACGGATCAATAATGGACTCCTGTGTGAAAGCTGCTTCCCCTCTGACGAGACACCTAAGAGGGGAATTCCCCCCATTTTCAAAAATGAAATTCAGGCCCTGAATAAATGTCTAAAAATCCTGATTGGAGTATCACTATAAATAGTTATAAATACTAAAAAGAAGGCTTTATAAAGATCGTGATTGGTATCGGCAGATACTGCTTTCTGTGATCGGTGATCGGCCTCAAAAACCCTGATCGGAGCACCACTATTTATAGAATAATATCCACCAATGAATTGTTCACAATAACAATAAGTGTATAATAAGCAATAATTGAGATTTTATGCCAGTGTTTAATTATTTTGTCATCAGGTGCGTGGCCGGTGCTCATTGATGACTTTGTGGAATTTGCTCGGCCGATCGTGACTGCAGAAAATCACAAGACTCTATAATGAGTGCTTACAGGGAGGCCTCTCTATACTGAATTTTTTAATAAAAAAAACAACAAATGCATTTAAAAATATATATTATTGAACGGAGAGAGTTTGTACATTATGAGTCTGCTGCTGGCAAGAGGCTGAAGATCAGCGGCCTTCCAGGCTGAACTACATCACCATGATCATGTGTGCGCTGTCATCACTGAACTTCTGAATCTGTCTAGCCTCATAGCTCACTTATAGCAGTGTGTTTCCCATGAGTCTCAGTGAGTCAACTGCATGTCACAAGCTCAACATATAGATGCATGTCCAGTTATTTTGTCATTTATACAGTATTAACTGTGCAGAACTTTACCATGAGAAAGAGCAAATAAGCTTCATTTAGTCATGTGACATCGACAATCAAACGTGTGTCATGCTTTTGTTTTGAGATTTCAGCAATAGTTCACCCAAAAATTTAAATTTTCTGAAAATGTGCTCACCCTCAGGCCATCCAAGATGTAGATGAGTTTGTTTCTTCATGGAAGCAGATGTGGAGAAATTTAGCATTACATCACTTGCTCACCAATGGATCCTCTGCAGTGAATGGGTGCCGTCAGAATGAGTCCAAACAGCTGATAAAAATATCACAATAATCCACACCACATCAATTAATCAACGGTTTGAAGTAAAAAATGCTTTGATGAATTTGTTTCTTTCAAACACTTAATTGATGGAGTGGAGTCATGTGGATTATTGTATTGTTTTTATAAGATGTTTGAAATCTCATTCTTATGGCACCCATTTACTGCAGAGGATCCATCGGTGAGCAATAGATGAAATGCTAAATTTCTCCAAATCTGTTCCCATGAATTAACAAACTCATCTACTTCTTGGATGGTCTGATGGTGAGCGAATTTTCAGTTTTGGCTGAACTAGTCCTTTAAGCTCCACTCACATCACCAGCAGCACTATCACAACAGTCAGAGTATAGGTAGAAATATCTGAACAGACAAGAAAATAAGTATTTGGACTAATGCATCTGCGGTGTGTCACTGATCATTCAATCAGAACTCTAATGAACGTCATTCTCATGAGTTTCTGAATGAATATGATCACTGAGGCTGATTTCTCATGAATGAAATGATGAGGATAAGAGCCATCATTGAAACACTGGCAAATGCTGATGAGATCCTGATTGTTCACATTGTTTGACTTGTTTACAGGCGTCTGTGTTATCGGAGGAGTATTTAAATCAGATCACCCTCTGTGTCTGCTGTTAGTCTGGATGAGTTTCTAACACAGTTTTTATTTTCTTCACTTTGTGATATTCGTCATATCACTGTGTCAGTTCAGTTCACCTCATCATATCAGTGTTATGTATGTATGTAAATAAAAGTTATTTAACAAAACTTATTCTCCACTGTCATTATATTAATGCTGTGGCACAAGTATGAATTGATAATCTGGTGTGTCACCAAATTCCCATTATTATCAACATAAAACAACATTTGCAACCCATCTAATTTCTGTAACATGTTTCTGAGTGACACGGAATGAGGAAACGTAGGAATTGACAGGGTTGTAAAAAAAAGTAGGCGTTGCGTTACTGGAATGGAGTCACGTGATTGGAGGAGGAGTTCAGCTGAAAAGGCGGAGCAAGTCATTCTGATTAGAATAACAAACACTAATAAATAATCACAAAAAAGTAGGGTGACTGTACGTCCTCTTCTTCCCAGACATGTCCTGACTGGGAGTTCCTAAATTCCTAAAACGTCTGGGTTTTGGCTTTGTTTTCCTATTGTTTTTATACTTGCTGATGGTAATGACTGAAAAATAGTAAACCAACAATGGGCAGGCATTGAACATAATCAACCAATCGTGGTGTGCGAGAAGGTGGATCTACAGAGAATGGTCAAAGCAATGCAAATATGTGTACATACAATGTATGAGTACTGAAGAGTGACGGTCAAAATAAAAACAAAGCCAAAACCTGGACATCTTAAGCAATTTAGAAACCCTGGCCAGGGAAAAATAGGATGTAAGGTAACCGTACAATAAGAGCAGGAATAATAGACTCCAGCTGGAGTATAAGCTGCATAATTCATCAGTAGATCTGTGTTTGGTGTGTGTGGGACAGTAATGTGCTGCTCTGAGGGTCCTGGAGCAGATGACAGACCCTCTTACCCTGGTGCCACAGCAGTTGCCTTTTTAGGAGACACCTGATCGCAGTTCAGCACCGCCACACAAAGAGCTGCTGATAACGCCTGGAGCGAGTTCAGATGATGAAGCCATGCAGGAGTAAACAGAGGGCTGGGCTTCCAGAGCCGCACACATACAGCTGTTGTGTCTGCGCTGAATAAAGTCCCCTCCAGCCGTTCAGGAGCCCAATTTGATGCTGTAGGATCTCTGGCACCTTCATGGAAAAGTTCCAGGCTGCAATGGTTCTCGGAGGAGTGGGAGATGCACTGGGATACCGCAAGGGCCGGTGGGAAATGTGTATCTCAGGGAAACAGATTCAGCAGGAACTGGCCACTCTCGGGGGTCTTGGAGCCTTGAAGCTAGACGCTGATAACTGGCCACTCAGTGACGGAGTCCTGATGCACATGACCACTGCAGAGGCCCTGATTACTGGTGAGAGAGACTGAAACAAAACAATATACACTATGGTTCAAAAAGTTTTTAAAAGAAATTAATCCTTTTACTTATCAAGGATGCATTAAACTAATCAAAAGTGTCAGTAAAGACTTACAATGTCACAAAATATTTACATTTCAAATAAATGCTGTTTTCATCTCTTCATTCATCAAAGAATCTCATGATTATGACTTTTTGTCGTAATTATGACCTTTCATCTCATAATTGTGACATAGTATTTAATAATTTCAATTTTTTAATCTCTCTTTAATCCATACAAGTCAAAATTGAGATAAAAAAGTTGAAAGTATAAAATATTACATATGAGATAAAAAGTCTTAATTCTAAAATAAGAAGTCAAAACTATGACCTTTTTAATCTAATAATTTTCCCTTTCTATAATTATGGCTTAAAATCTCATAATTGTAACTTTTTGTCATGATTGACTTTTTATATCAATATTTCAAATAAATGCTATTCTTTTGAGCTTTCTATTCATCAAAGAATCCTGACAAATGAAATGTATAATGGGTTCCACAAAAATATGAAGCAGCACAACTGTATTCAACATTGATAATTATCAGAAACGTTTCTTGAGCAGCAAATCAGGATCATGTGACACAAGACTGCAGTAATGATGCTGAAAATTCAGCTTAGATCATAGGAATAAATTACATTTTAAAATATATTCACTTACAAAACAGTTAATTAATATAATTTTTGTTTACTGTATTTTTAATCAAGTAATTGCAGCCTTGGTGAGCAGAAGATACTCTTACCGCCAAACGTTTGACTGGATATAGTCAATAAAATCGACCATTACTCATTTTTTTTGCCTTAATTCTGGGAAACTTCAGAACACTATGTGAGTGGATTTGTTCCATATCTATAAATGTAACACTTAAGTCCATGTGTAAGCTCTTTCCGCTTGTGTTTGCTCTCAGAATAGGGATGAATCCATGTGAAATCCCTCTGCTGGCCACGGCGTCCCTCACTAACTCCCTCTGAAATGTGAATTGATGATAATACAGCAATCTTTCATCACACAGACGTGACACGGATGCTTTCCTCCACATGACTCACACACACAGCCTGATAACGAACCCAGAATAGAGCTGCGGGTCACGGCGATCCGTTTGCATGCTAATCTCTGGGAGCGTCGTAAATAACATGAGCTTTAGTGAGGTCCCTGAGAGCTGTAATCCAGCAGGACCACCAGACCGCTTAATTCCCGGTTCAGTAGACCCGAAATAGACCCTAAGTGACCGTGGTCCTCACCGCAGACAACAGCGGCTCCTGCTGCCCGAACGAGCCACTTTATGCTTTGGAGGATTGAGTTCAAAGCTCATGAGGGTCGTGACAGTCAGTGGATCACAGTGCCACATCCTATCCACACTCTTAAATCATTTCAACTTTTTACATCATTTCGACTTTGTCATAATTATCCATTTATCGTCTTGTATATCTTATCTTATGAATTTAGTCAATTATGACTTTTTATGTAATAACTGCACTTTTTCAAAAGCGCTTCTTATCCACATTCCACACGATTTGACATGCAAGACCAATACAACTTTTATTAGCTGACTGAGCCATATAACATTTTGTTATTATTTTGTTACGTCAAGTCCTAATGACATAAAACTTTGTCATAATTTTTAGGTCATAATTTAGACTTTGCCATAACATATTTTGATGTATTATCTCATAATTTAATTTGTATGTCAATTATTACTTTTTATCTAATAATATTTTGTTGTTGTTGTTGTCGTTTAGAATTTTGGTACATTAAGGCATAATTATGACAAAAATGAATGAGTAATACTGTTTTATATTTTTATCTTATGACTTTTCATCTTATAACTTTGTTCAAAAGACAATTATGACATTACAATCAATTTGTCACAATGTCATAATTTTCTTTTTACTTGCACACGATTTACTAATTCATTCCCTTGTTTTACGTAAAGTGATATTATTATATCATTTATTATTATATTTGTTCGTCCCTCGTAAAATATTCTTTCTAATTCCTGTCCGCATTCTCATAAATGTATTTTCATAATTCTCTTAAGTTGTGTGTTGTGCTGTGTTGTGGACAGAGACGCTTTAATTGGGTTTTATTTTGAGTTGGGAATGAGTTATAGAGACATTCTCAAAAGCCTTGCAGCATTGCATGGAATCATTTTAAATGAGAGGCATCTACATCGGTTTATGAGAATGTGGACGATTTACTTTAAAAATTAAAGTAAATTTTTACCTTAAAACAAGGGAACAAATTAGTAAATCGTATGCACAATTTACTTTTTTTTCCCTGCATGCCATGTGCGGGGCTCCATATACTTATCCACATTGCAACACCATTTGACTGCAGAGACAAAAACAACCACTGCAAATAAACCAAACTGGAGACTGTAGCTTTGTCTCATATTGATTATGTTGAGTCTGCAGGATTTAACAAGACTTACTAACAGCTCCTGCCGCCTCTGGTTCATGGACACACAAGCGTTCATGTGGCCTTCATCTGTTTGCTGTCGAAGCCCCAGAGGAGCACTAATGCCCTCAGAATGCCTTCCATCCACCTCAGATAAACACTCTTATCAGCTGCGGTTAATCATGGCTAAATTAGTCCTGACACATGACTGCTCCCGTGGATGCCACACATGCTCAAACAGCCT